ACACACACACACACACACACACACACACACACACACACACACACACACACACACAAAGATAGGCCTATGCTGTATATATAGCTGATGAGTAATCCTGATGCTGATGTTATTTCCGTTTCATTAACCTGTAATAAATTAAACACTGAATGAAAATGAGCAACAGGGACTTTTCCAACTCTCCAGTGCCCTACTTGCATAGAGTACACACACGCTAATTTACGCGGGACAGCTGGATGTCACTAAACAATAATCACTCGTGTTTGACAATTTTAGACAAAGTACAATAAAACGCGCATTTAATTGAGTTTTTAATTAGACTAATCTTGCTTTCCTCTATTTAGATGAAAGTAGAGAAGAGATGTTTTTATGTTAAAGAGAATTAGAATAAAATGTGTGAAACAGCTTTTTTAACAGGGATTTCATCGCCTGGGTAATTGTTGATAACGTCAGATTCTGCATACGTATCTAAAAATACAGAAACAATGTAACAAAAAAGTATAACTCGACAAAAACAATTTAAAAACGAGAAATTTTTTAAATGTTGTTATCAGATCTTTTATGATTTCCACGATATTTGCAGCTTCCTCTCCAACTTCATTCATTTAAAGTCCTTATTTGCATTAAAAGCTGCGCTACAATCGACTTTGAACAGGCGACGTTGATTCGGGTGCACGTCAGGTAGGATGAGGGGCCCCCTGCACTTTGCACTCAATTAGTGAAACGTGACAAGAAGAAGACGAATATTTCGAAGTGAGTGTGGTGGGGATAGATCGTTCTTTGGACTCGTAGTCAGTGTGTGTAATTAAAAAAATAAAGACCTGCTTTATGGACAATGTCCAACGCAGAGCCCGTATATTTGTTCTGGATGACGCCACTCCGCCTACCTTTCTAACTGTAGGATTTCATACTTTACTGATTAGGGCATTGTTGGGCATGTAGGGCATGTTGATTAATTTCGCCTCTTATACTTTTTCTGGTTTTATTTACATTTAGTGTTTCGACTGTTTGACCCTCACTAAACTGCCTTAATAATGTATCTACCCGAATCATTTTTATTTTATTTTAATATAGCCTATGTTTATTTATTTATTGGTTTAGTTTTGGGCATCTGTTTCACTGAATGAGGTGCGAGGCCAAAATGTTCAGTGCTTTGTGTCGCAATATATCAAAACACAAAATATTAAATACACTGTCCTAAACACACTGTCCTAAACACTTATACACATATTACAACATATTAATTGCGTGAAATTTCACAATACTACTGCTACTACTACTAATAATAATAATAAATTTGCGGATATTTAGGAGATACAGAATTTACAAGATAGTATTTTCCTGGCGTGGGTGGATTTCCTGTAAATGAAAATCTGGTTGGTTAATCGATGGAGGACAAACAACACATGCTTTTAGTGAACTATAAGTTTCATTCATTCTCTGTGGGGGTTTTTTGTTTGTTTTTTTGTTTGTTTTTTTGCTTTTACAACTGCCGTTTCACACCCTAACATTATTTTTTCTATTTTTTTTCTTACCGCAGTTTAGAGTAACTACATTTTTCGAACAAGATTACTAAAAATACACAGCCTTATATTAATTTTACTAAAACATACGCACTACCAAAGGTAACGACCATGACCACTGTAAGCTGCCGTTTAGAACGAACATCGGTATTTGGCACTCTGCGATGAGAAGGTGTTAAAGAAGCCTATTCTGCATGCCAGACATTATCACGTGTGTCCTAGACGTCCACAGGGGCTACAGTAACTACCGTTTAATATACACACATTGTACAAAGTAAAAAATCTCAAAGCATATTGTGTTCCATTTGGTTAAATGGTGAGCAGTGGGCATCATTTTCACTGGATATATTTATTTGATACATTAATTAAAATACACCAGTCCTTTGTGGTTTCTGCCATCAAGGATGTTTTACCTCATTTAAAGACTTGCATCAGCTTGCTCTACATTTGTTTTGCACAAAAGTACTTCATGCAAATTTAGTTTGGTTACCACTGAACCTGGTCAATTCACCAGCTAAGTAACTGATCTGTACACATCATAATCACAAACCATCCAAAACTGATCAGAATAGTTTTTTCAAAGCAGGCCTGTCAACATAATGGTAACTACATTTACACATCTTATATTTATAATATAGCTATTTCTCGGGACTGTACTATTGCATTGCAAAGCTAGTCACGATTTATGCCTCATATAAGAGGCTACAGATCCTTTTGAAGAACAGCTTTCACAAAAAGATCAGCCAATCAGTAAACCACACCTCTGGTGCAGTTTCCTCACTTGCTGCCTATAATGCCTTCTGTCTTCTCCTACAACAGCTGCAGATGTATTGAACCTCAGCTGATTAAGGCAGCAGGCCAAGGTTAGAAACAAGAGAGTGGTGGTGGATTTGTTTGTGTGATACTTTCATGATTTGGCTGTTGTTTAGTCCAGGGATTATACCATGCTTCTACAGAAGGACCAGCTTTTGTCCTTGTGAATTTCAATATTGTTTGAGGCAATGAAGTGGGGGCATCATAAGTTGCTTATTTTGATATGAATATGTATGCTTTTGCAAAATGACTGACAGATCTACATTTTTTGACAGTGTATGCTTTAGTTAGGAAAGTATTCAGGAAATATAAGGGATATTTGCTATACTTTTATCATGTGAAAGCAACACAAATGCTCACAATGTAAAGTATTTTGAAGATGTGAACCATGCATTATTGTCACTTTCCTTAAACAAGGCTTTTCTAATCAATGCCCGTCGGCTAATCTAAATGTCAAAATTGGATACATTTTAAGTTACTACAGTGAGACCATTAAAAACGATCTAATAAACCATTCTTGATTGTTCTTTTAGGGTCCAAAAGAGGGCTGGAACTTATTGCAGGTAGATC